TTTTAATATCTTTTAAGAATGATAAATTTATTAAACTCTTTATTGGTGGTAGGAGACGCATAAATGTTATCATTTTATTTGCTTTTTAAAATTGAACTACACCTACAATTATACCGTTGACTGTGTTGATAAAATTAGACTTTATGTTAAATAAAGAACTGGTGTGATGTTTTACTTGTGTCTGTTTAACATGCTATTTTGCTTAGATCATGCTTGTTATCTGAGTGTATGACTTAGATATGACATTCTTTGGGTAGCATTTTGTTGTAAAATGCAAAAGCATTTAGAGTTCACGGTGAACATAACAAATTTTAGCATAACTTGATATTTCTTTTTAGAGATGGAAAGTCTAATTGAAGTAGAGGTCTATGCTGTGGTGGCCATGAAATTAAAAGATAGTGACATTAAGAGTGTGCTTGTACCCAAAAGAACTGTCCTGCAATCTTCTCGATGAATTACCTTCACTTTGATAGTTCAATCTGTACAACATGCCATTGATTTAATATACAACAACAACAACAACAACAAGCCTTTATCCCACTAAGTGGGGTCGACTACATGAATTTTTTTCTCCTTTGCGTCCTATTGAGGGTCATATTCTCATTTAAATCTAATAAAGTAAGATTATTTTTTATACAATATGCCCAAGTCTTTCTAGGTCTACCTTTGTCTTTTTAACATAAGTCGAATCTAAAAAATCTACCTCCTAACTGGATTACCAAATGATCATGTTTAATGTGACCACACCATCTAAGACGACTCTCTCTGGTTTTTTACGCCAAATGAGCTACACCAACCCTATCACGGATATATTCATTTTGTATTTTGTCTCCAAGTGTAAAGCTACTCATCCACCTAAGCATTCTCATCTCGTCAACACGACTTAATTTGTGCTTCTCTTTTAAAGGCCAACATTCTGTGTCATAGAGCATTGTGAGTCTCGCCATCTTATAAAATTTTCCTTTTAGTCTAAGTGATACTTTTATATCACACAATATGCCCAAAACATTCTTCCACTCCAACCAACCAACTTGAATTCCACTAAAAACATCACTATCTATATCACCATCACGTTGAGCAATAAAACCGAGATATCTAAAGCGTTCACACCTTTTAATAATTTGATCACACATTAATTTGATCACCACACCTTTTAATAATTTGATCACACATAGTTACAACTCTATCACTAGAGCTACTACTACTAAAATTACATTCTATGTTTCTACTCAAACGAAGGCTCAAACGAAGGCTTTTAGACTCCAATGTAAATCTCCATAATTCAAGTTTTTCTTGAGTTCTTTCTGTAGTCTTGTCCATAAGAAATATCATCAGGGAAAAACATACACCAAGTTACATCCTCCTATAAATGTCCAGTAAGAGCATCCATAACTAAAGCAAAAAGATATGGGCTTAAAGCCGATCCCTGATGTAATCCAACTGAAATAGGAAAATATTTGGTCAATCATTTCTTCTGTTCAAACACAAGTAACAACTCTAGTATACATATCTTTAATAACTTGAAAATGAGTCATATCAACAATTTTTTTTCGTAAAACTCTCCAAAGGATCTCCAAAGGATATCTCTTTATAACTCAGATATCTCTTGGAACCTTATCATAATCTTTTTATAAATCAATAAAAAACATATGTAGATTCTCCTTATTCTCTTTGTACTTCTCCATCAAGCCTCTTAATAAAGGTATAACTTCCATAGTAGACCTGAACTACATAAATCCAAACTGATTATGAGAAATCTTTGTAATACATTTTAAGTTATGTTCAATTGCTTTCTCTCATAATTTTAAGGTATAACACATCAACTTGATTCCTCTATAATTTGCACTCTCTCGTGCATCTCCTTTATTCTTAAAAATGGGACCAAAATACTCTTCCTCCACTCTTCATACATTTTTTTTTAATTTTTAAAATAATATTAAAGAGTTTCGAAAGCCAAGAAACTTCCAAATCTTTTAAATAATTCCACACTCAATTGAGATATCATCAGGTTCTACAAACTTTATATCGTTGGTTTTCTTTAAAGTCTCTTCAACATCTTTTTTATTAATGTGATGATAAAACGATAAAACTAAAATATATTATTATTATTAACGATATTAAAATCACTAAGGTCGATCGTATTTTCAAAAATTTTATAGAAAAGTTTATCAAATAACTCAGATATCTCTTGGAACCTTATCATAATCTTTTTATAAATCAATAAAAAACATATGTAGATCCTCCTTATTCTCCTTTACTTTTCCGTCGCTTCTCCATCAAACCTCTCAATAAAGGTATAACTTCCATAGTAGACCTGAACTACATAAATCCAAACTGATTATGAGAAATCTTTGTAATACATTTTAAGTTATGTTCAATTGCTTTCTCTCATAATTTTAAGGTATAACACATCAACTTAATTCCTCTATAATTTGCACACTCTCGTGCATCTCTTTTATTCTTAAAATAGGGACCAAAATACTCTTCCTCCACTCTTCAGTTTTTTTTTAGTTTTTAAAATAATATTAAAGAGTTTAGGAAGCCTAGAAACTCCCAAATCTCATAAATAATTCCACACTCAATTGAGATATCATTAAGTTCTACAAACTTTCTATCGTTGGTTTACTTTAAAGCCTCTTCAACATCTTTTTTATTAATGTGACGATAAAACTAAAATATATTATTATTATTAACGATATTAAAATCACTAAGGTCGATCGTATTTTCAAAAACTTCATAGAAAAGTTTATCAAATAACTCACCCACCTATGTTGAATATCTTTTTCTAAGAAGAACAATTTTTTATTTTCATCTTTAATATACTTTATTTGAGTTAAATTTTTACTTTTCTTTTATCTTTGTTTGACTAGTTTATACATATATTTTTCATCTTTTTTTGGCAATCAATCTATTATAAAGATCACTAAAAATTGAATTTTTAGTATCATAGATTGTTCTCTTAGACTCCCTATGAACAATTTTATATTTTTCCCAGTTCTTTAAGCTTTTACATTTAAACCAATTTTTATAACATAACTTCTTATATTTTATCTTTCCATGCACAAAAGTATTCCACCACAAACTATTTTATTTATAAAAACTTTTTCTTTTGATTCTTCAAGTACATGTGTTGCCACTTGTTTAATAGTTTTTATTACTTTATCCCTTATATAATTTGTTTCTTTATGAACATACTAATCTTGAAATCTTGAAGTTTACTCATAAAAATAATTTTACTTGTGTCTTGTTGGTGTCACCATATAATTTTATGACAATGATTTCTACTATTCTTTATTTACAACTCTTCATCTTAAAATCCAGAGCTAATAATCGATATTGGTTATTTAAATTCTCACATGGAATGACCTTACCATCTTTACATTCTCGACGATCTCTTCTTTTCATAATAAAATAATCAATTTGAGTTTTTTTTAGATCCATTCTTATAAGTAATAACATGCTTATCTTTTTTCTTGAATAAAGTTTTAGCTATAACAAAATCATATGCTAAAGCAAAGTATAATATGACTCTACCTTCTTCATTAATTACTCCAAAACCGTAGCCATTATGAATATTTCTGAAATCTTCTGCTACTCTACCAACACGTTCATTTAAATCTCCTTCAATAATAATTCTTTCTTCAAGTGATATTAAATGTATTGATTCTTCTAAGCATTCCAGAATTTTCTTTGGATCCTATATCAACCTAATTGAGGAGCATTGATTACTTGTAATATTAAAAATCTTAGTATCAATAACAATCTTAATGACTATAATTCTATCTCCAATTTCATTAAGTTTTACAACATTATCTTTCAAACTCCTCTATATAATTATACCTACATCATTTCTAGTGCGACTCTTGCCTAAATACCAAAGTTTGGAACTCAAGCTATCAATCTCCTTAGCTTTTTCTCCAACCAATTCAGTTTCTTAAATATATAAGTATTTATCTTTCTATGAATCATAGTATCAACTAATCCCATTAATTTATCTGTGAAAATATCTATATTTCAAGATCCTATCCTAATATTAGTTTTATGAGCTAACTTTCTTACCCTCATCCGTCCGTAACATAGGAACCCTTATTTATTTGACACTATACTAGGGCGTCGGTGTAGCGGTTCTTGCACACTTTTCATTGTACTCAGGCATACAACGCGCCGCTTACAAGGACGCCCTAACATTTACACAATATTGAAAAGGATTCATGTTATGATTTTTCGACAAACTTTACGCTGGTTGTTGACTACCTAACGCAACTCTCCACTTTTCACATCCCAGACTTGGGACCCGACATGCCATTGAATTGATATATGAATCCTGATTACTGTTAATGGATTGACGACACTGTGGTTGAAGGGGAATCTTGTTTATTCAAGTTTACCAATTCAAGCCACATAGTTTGCGGTAAAAAATTGAAAAAAAAAAGATTCTCATTTATAGCATGATCCTGAAAAGTTGTGGAAACTGCTTCGGTGATAATCTCTAACTTTACTGTAAAGCCAAATACCAAAACCGGTAAAGCTGCCTAGTTCACTTGTGAATATTATATTTGTGGCTTATATTTATTCTCATTTTCTTAATCCATGTCATCTAACGCCCTACTTTAAAGCTGCCTAGTTCACTTGTGAATATAATAGCAGAAGCTAACAAAATTTTCCGTAGAAATTGAATCCACTCATCAAAATTTCCAGTGCAATGAAAAGAAACTCCACGGCTTAATTTTTTTTGATAAATTGATGCTAACCAATAAAGTCATATCGGCTGTATAACAAATATAATGGTATTATCATTAATTTTGCTACAAGTTTAAGTAAATTGGAGCATATATTGTTGCCCACAGGAATTTGGAGAACGCATTGGCACTGTATGGTTCATATTGTCTTTTATTTACTTTATATCCTTGTTGTTTAGTACAATTGTTTAATTATTATACTGATTTATTGTATGTATTTGTGGTGTATTTATATGCGTGCTTGCATGTTGAGCTAAGCAGAGGTTTGAACTTTCCTGAGGTTGCTGAAGAAATTAGAGGTGTAGCAAGTACTAACTCTGTACATCGCAAACTTTTTGTTCGTGGCTTGGCTTGGGAAACTACTTCAGAAACTTTGTGTGCTGTGAGTGCTTTGAAGTTTGAATTTTTATGCTTGAATGTTTGGATGCATGAGCTAGTTTTTCTAGGTCAGTGATATGGGGATAACCAATTTCATACCCAACTGAAGTATATATTTGTATTTGATACCTTTTTTCTCTTCATATAACTGAATCATATGGTAATCCATGCAAAATAATCATTTTGTTTTTTGTGATGGTTATATAGTTTTACTGGTAAATGAAGCAAAAAAGATATTAATGCAGGCCTTTTCTATGCATGGTGAAATTGAGGAAGGAGCCGTTATAGTTGACAAGGCAACTGGAAAGTCTCGTGGTTTTGGCTTCATCACATACAAGAACCTGGAGTCTACTCAAAAAGCATTGGAAGAACCAAGCAAATTGATTGATGTGAGCATATTTCCTCACACGTTAGGAAGGCACTTGTTAATTGCTTCTAACTTTTCATAATACAAAGCTTTTTGACCCCATGAGCACCGTTAAATTGATACTGCCAGCTTTTTTAGAAGTGGTTAAAAGTAGTAATCAACTAGATAATTCGTATATTCTGCTTATAATCTCCATATTATTTTAGCATCATCGAAATCTGTATTGGCTGGACTTGCTTTTCTTTATTTCTTCTTACTTTATTCTCTTCATTGTTTTTATGTCAGCCTGATTACTTTTATGTGTTCTATCGTGATGGTTCTTTTTCTCAAAGCCAGTTTGTACTTCAGTATCTGCATTCTTCTTGTCTTTTTCCACAAGTTATATTCAGGTGTATTATATTATTAAGATTATTTTTTCTTTATTCTTCTTCAATGGAATTCTTGCAATGCTGGATCTATTTGGATTTTTATTGCCATTTGCCACTCTACTTTATGAGTCATGATTCTAGCTTCATTTGGAGTTGCTTCACGGACAAACTTTCACTCTACCGTGATTTTCGTTGTGTTATTGCTTCTATGAGAGGGCTATGAGAGTCCAATTCCTCATGTTTACTGAACCGTTGATGTAAACTCGCCACACCATTCAAAATTGGGGCCAATGGGTAGATAATTAGCCAGCTGTTAACTTTTTCAGAGATTTTTAGTGCCTGACCATTCACCTGCTTCCAGTGAGCTACGGGAGTTTTGGGTATCCATGCAGGCTATCTTTTTTTTTTCTGGCTAATAGTTGAAAGGGGGAATCACTAGAGGAGTATCAAGATAGTTAATGTCCCTATCTTAGAGGATTTGAATTTGTGCCAGTGCCAGTGATATGTTTGGATCAAAACCTCATTTTATAAAAAAGGCCAATCAATTAACATTTTTTTTGCATGAGGTTTTACCTAAATCAACTTGCAATAAAATTTTACAGTCGTTCATCATTTTCCATTTAATCTTTGCTCGTCATTTCTTAACTACACCTCAAGCACGTGCACTCATCAGTACAGGGTTAGGGGTAGAGCAGAAGTAGATGTGTGCAGTCTTAACATTTGCATTATGAGATTTTTGTTCAAGCTTCAAACCTGTTCCCACCGGATGCAATTAGGGTTTTCATTTGCATAGGCGAGCACTTTGGGCCAAATGGCTGGTTCTTGATGAACTTTTATGGGTTGCACTAAATTGTCTTATGTGCTTAAATGGACTCTATGTGCCCAACTCATTTATTTATGAGGTCTTAAAATCTAGTTGATGAAAACTTTTTGGAACCCATTTAAGCAGTTGGGGGTTTTTTTTGGTTATATCAAAGTGTACCAACCATCTTTGACTGTAAGAAAAACAATAAATAATGCATGCATGCCTATCAACGCCGAGCTCTTCTATAAATTCTACAAGGCAACTCCACAATCATTGAAAATTTAAATGAGAATGTAGTTTACCGTAATTCATGAAGATTTTGTAAGAGATAATGAAATTCCCCCCAAACTAGTAAACACAACATTCCATTCACTTGGGGTAAGGCTAAAATGAGAAGAAAATTTGGAATGTGGTTTGCTAAAAATATAATTTTAGTCCTGCCATAGCTCACTTTCTCGTTGCAGAGGATAGCTTTCATTCACTCTACCAAGCTTCAGAAATGCAGAGTTAGCTAAGATTATTTGAGATTATCCAGGCTTAAATGGGCTAACAACTTAATAGGCTCTATTAATTCTTTGTTACTATCGTATCTAGTTCAGTATAATGTTGGGTTTACTTTGTCTCTAATAATGTTGGGTTTACTTGGACTCATACGTAATAGAGTTAGGCCAGCTGAAGGCTATCTAATCATCCCTTGACATGCGGCTTATTTGACATGAGCTTGTTCATTCATTCCTTAACTCCGCTCCCAAACTATACATTGTCATTCTTTGAGGTGAATTCACTTTCTATGTACAGGGCCGCTTAGTTGTATGCAATCTAGCTTGTGAAGGACTCAGCAGCGCAACTGTCAGTGCTGATTTAGCATTGAGAAAAATATACGTTGGAGGTTTGTCTCCAGATACATCAACTGAGGAATTGCTCAATTTCTTTGGAAGGCATGGGGAGATAGAAGAGGGATCAGTTGCATATGATAAAGAAACCAATGTATCAAGGTAAATATCGTCTATTGTAAACTGTTACCTACCACACTGAATTATATTCTTGGAGCATTTACATGAATAACACACAATTCTAGTGTATTTACATCATCTCACATCTAAACTTTCATATTTACGCATGTTGCTCCCGAGTTTTTATTATCACGTCAAAAATAATAGCATTACCAATTTATAAATGTGAAATACACCTTTTCATTCATAGGCTTGAAGCAACAAAGTGTTACATATGTAAATATGAAAATTTAGGTGTGAGATATGTAAATAACAAGAATTGTGTGCTAGTTATGTAAACATCTTAAATTACATTCTTTATCAACTGAATTTCTATGGTTTAAATTGCAGGGGATTTGGTTTTGTGACGTACAAGACCACTGAGAGTGCAAAGAAGGCCATGGGTGACACAAAAAAAATGCTTGGGGTAACTGAAAGAGTTTGCATATATTCACTACACATCACATCCATTGATAAAAGGAGACATCTTTGGCTGATAAAAACAAATTGATGCTCTTAATTTGTTTCATACATTATAGTGAGATTGCAATGTTTGATGGAAGCCAGTCAGTCCAGCTTCTGATCACTATAAATTGTTTAAATTGATTGCAACAGAAATTCAAAATTTGGAAAACGAAAAAATTAAAATTTTGATGAAATCCAACAAACCGAATTAAAATTTAATTCGGTTTAAACAGTTAAATTATGAACAAATTAATATTTAATTGTTTGTTAATTTGATTATGAACAAACATTAAGAATTAAATATCTTGCATGCATAATATCCATTTAATTTCATAAATTATTTATTTATTTTAATTATATATTGGATATAATATGAACTTTGGTATTTCAATTTGGACGACGAAATTTTAATCAAATTTTGATTTTTTTAATTGTTGGGTAAATGAAAATTAAACCTGAATAAATAACTAAAAACTGAATATTAAAGTTTTAAAAATAAAAAATATAAATATATTGTTGAAACAAAACTGAATGAATCAAATTTGTTCGGTTTGATTCGATTCAACCTTTTTTTCATTTTTTTTACCAAATATTGCACACCATAACTATAATATGTTCTATTACAGGGAAGGAGCATCACTGTGAAGCTTGCTTTTATACAGCACAAGGGCAGACTAATGCAACCTCAGGTGTTACCCATAGCCATACCCATTTCATCCAAGTCACAGAACAAGAGGTCAAGAGCATCTGTCACCTATGCTCCTTATGTATACAGTAGCCCTTACGCCGGTGCACCGCAACACTATGTAGTACAGTCTCAAGTCCCATATGCACAGGTTAGTGGAAAGGATCATTATGGAATTCCTTCAGCTTCTCCAACTGGAGTCTCTGGTTATTCATACTACGCCCCAAAACCTTGAGTTGGTAGCCTTGTTATTAGAGTCCGAAGTCGTAAAAGCTTTGCCTTTCAGCAGACGTGCACTGTTATGATTCGGATTATCATCTGTGTAGGTTAGCCACTGTAGTAGGTGAGACATTAATGTTTATGAGAAGTATTGACTGGCAGCTTAGTTATGTGATTGCATTTTATTGAAATGAGTGTTACTGCCTGATACTAATGCTTTGAAGCAGTATCTTTTGAGTTCAAAATGTGCATTAGTAACAGGAATTTTATCATCGTCAATTATCCAGTTTTTAAAATCTTGCTTCCATAATCAAATATAAATCTATGGAGTATATTCTTTTAAATTATGTTTTTGTAGATGGATCTTATTTGAACAGAATGTATGTTTTGTTTCATAGTGCTTAAATCCAGATCAGGTTGTGGGCATTATGTTATTCTCTTATGAAATGAATCAATTCCAAAGTTCAAAAGATGAGGTTGTGATGGGGAATAAAGTGGGATGACTGATGAGTGTATAAAGGCGTACATTTTACAAAGTGGAAATCCAGCACAAAGCTACGACCCCCAGTTATGTGATAAGCTTAAGAATTTAAGTCTGTCATGCTTTTGAACTTATTCCGTTCGTGGCAAAGGAAAATGAAATAAAATAGTAATATTATCTAAATATGTAGAGTATGTATATAATATTTCTCACTTTTAAAAAACATGTATTCTTTCCTTCATTTGAAAAATATACAGAGTTAAAATATTGAAATAAGCGTTAATATTGGTTAATGGAAACAACATTTCCCCATTAAAAGTGTGGATATTAATAGAAGGTTCGAGCGAGAATAAAAGGTTCAAGCAAGGAACAACTTATCTCGAGCAAAAGCGAATAAAACAAGAAAAGCAACTTTATCAAAAGCTCTCTCCACCCTCTTCTTCCCCCTTTTTCCTCTGCCTCTGCTTTATTCTTCATTAATTTGATCCTTTGCCGTAAAAAAAATAGTACATTCGTCGTCAGTATGTCTAAGCAAATATATTTATTAGGGGTGTAAAAAAGCGGAACACGAGCGAGCTTAGGCTCTATTCGTGTTCGGCTCATTTATATTTTGAGTAAAAAGTGTGTTCATGTTCGAGACTCGTTTGCTTAAAGAGTCGAACACGAGCTGTTCACAAAGAAAGAGTCTAGTCATAAGATGTTAAGGGTTGAGTAAAAATTTAAAAATTATTGTTTATATTAAAACATCATCTGAATGTAATTTAATAATTTTTGTTCTATTTTCTTAATTAATACTTTTAATTGATTATAATTTTTTGTTGCCTTGTAGTCGATTAGTTTTCTTAAAAATACTACTCATTAATATATATATATTATATATATATATATAATTGATGAGTAGTATTTCGAGTCAAAACGAATCGAACATGAACAAACAAATCTTTGTTCGTGAACAACGAGCCGTTTTGACAGCCCTAATATTTATTGCACCACGCCACTGTACACTACATCGTATAGATGTTCGGATGAAGGCGTGGATTACACCACGCCATCGTGCACGATGTTGTGGTGCAATTCACACCGTCGTCCAAACATACATCATCCGGAAATAATATTTTCTCTTATCTGATCAGATTTTTAGTGATTTTAAAATCCTTAAATTTATTTTGAGATCAGAGAAGTATTAAGTTGCAGCAAGCAAATGCTATATTTGACACAAATTCAGAGACCCATAAATATTTTTTCTTAAATTTGATTGCCATATAATTCTTATATATTTACATATCTAACACATATATATCCTTTTCGTCTAATCCCCCAAAATTGAGGTATTTGATTGTGCATGTAACAACAATTCAAATGCCAATAGATGAACAATTTCTTTCTACTATTTCTGAAATACTTTTCGTATACCCATTTAATGACCGAAAAATTTCACACAATTTAATGTAAATGTGTGTTGAATTCTTTTAGGATGTAGGATATCATATAGTCCGCAAAAAAATATAATTGACGAAAGAAGTTGAGAGATCAGTGAAGTGAGTGAAACAGTATAGAATTGTAGATTATGAGTATTACTCTCCCATGAATCTCCTTTTCTTCCCCATTCCCCTCTTGTATATAACTTTGTGCTCTTGTCCTTTTAGGGCTACCCAAAAAATTGTACACGATGCCTATTGAGAATTATGGTTGATGAGATATTATTATGGGTGTCAGGAAGCCCACAAGTAGGAATGGACATTGATGGGTTAAGTTTGCTTCCTCCTACCATGCAGTGAACCTTGAACGATCAACGATGAACTGATCGATATACCTCGATAAATGCAAGCCAACTGAGTGAAGAAACTTAATAAGTATTGGCGAGCTAGGTTGAAGTAGCTCGCATGAATGCCGA